TGGGTGTTTGCTCCTTGGCAGGGAACGTGGCACTGCGGGAGGGATGTTTCGCAAGCTCTGAGCAAAGGCAAGAAGTGAGGGGTTCCTAGTTGCTCCTTATCTACACGTCCCCGTGTCATTTGCCCTTGTTTTGCGTCTGACTCAGTAGTCACAAGTCAAGCCTTGCTGGTGAGCCTGCAGGAACCGGCATGTCAGGTCTCCTGTGCAGGCTTTGGCTGAGACCTGGTGGCATTTGTAAAAGGTCTGTCCCGTGCCGAGAGATGAGGAAAGCTGCGCGGGGGATCAGGCTTCAGCAATTGTGTCGCTAAAGATCTGCAGGGACCCAGCCTGCCCAGGAGGTGTTTCCCAAGCTTGCAGGGCATCGACTGCGAGGTGCTGCTCCCGCGGGGACCCCGGGCTGTCCCTCTTGGGTGGGTCAGGCACGACGAGGCTCGTCCTGGCACGGGATGAGGCCACGGCCAGGCTTGGGAAGCATTCCCGAGTCCTGCTGCAGAAGCAGAGGGGACGGGTGCGTAGCCATCCTCGGGAAGGGGCAGATCGTGCAGCCTGCGTTGCAGGACCGCACGACCCTGGCTAGTCCTTGACCTGGGTGCCCTGCCCACTCATGGCCTCCCTGCTCCCTCCCAGGCGAGGTCGTGGTGAAGTGGTTCGAAGCCATCCAGACGGGGCTGCCCATGTGTGTCCTGGGAGCTGCGTTCGGCCCCGTCCGTCTCAGCGCACAGTAAGCACTGGCCGATGAGGAGGGAGTCTCTGCCCAGGGGACGTGCCAGCCTGGGTGATGCTTTCCGGTATCCTCTGGGGATGAAGAGGGGACACTGCTAGTTTGCAGGGGGGAGTCAGTCAGGGATCCCTCGTGTGAACCTGCTGCTCTGTCCCCACGGCCCAGGGAAGCGGTGACAGTGGGAGGCATGGCTTTGCCTGGTCACTGAAGCAGAACCTGATGTTTCATCTGCTTCCAGCACTGAATCTCCTGGGCCAGGCAGGAGGAGCAATGCCCAGGCTTGGCTGCCCTTGGCTGGGCACATGTTGAGGGCCAGCAGGACCCTCACCACGCTGACGGCCGTTCCCTGCCCCAGCACATCTGTTTTGGTGGCCCAGTACAGTTTGGGGATTGCAGAACCTGAGGTCTGATCTTGGGTTTGCTGCCGACTGTAACTTTCCCGGCACACCGTCCTCTTCTGTGCCTCAGTTTCCCCTATGAGATAAGTGGAAGGGATGCTAGAGGGGTCTTGAGGCTTGTGGTACATGGGATGCATGGGGTTGGCATCTGCCGAAGACTTGGAGAAGGAAACTGAAAACACAACATGGAAATCAAAACTGTCACCATCTGTGTCTCTTGTTTCAGAAAGCTGCAGGTCCTGGCCACCAAGCTGGTTCCCTGGGCGATTCGGAGCGGGCGCAATGCCAGCTGTATCCTGAATGTCTACTACGAGCAGCGCTGGGAGCAGCCAGTGGAGTCCCTGCGGGAGGAGATCGGCATCTTCCCTCCCCCGGCCATTCGAGTGTGAGAGCTCAAGTACGGGGAGGGGACAGGGGATCCCCTTCAGCAGACAGCAGTGGTCCCCTGCTGCGCTCCATCTCCTCCTGCCTGGGAGCACAGCGTGGCTCTGCTACCAGCCGCCACGGACTCCGGGGCTGAGTTTTCTCCTGCCAAGAGCTGGCACCCTCCCGTTGGTAGGGACCAAGTGGTCCCTCCCTGTGCCATGACAAAACTTGACACTTCTTACTGTTTGTGATTCAGTGGAGGGGTGGCAAGTCCCACCATGCCTTTGCCAGCTGGGTCTGGCTGCTGGCTCCAGTACTGATGCTCCAAAATGCTGGGGTGGGGAGGGAGCAGAGCTGGTTTACAACACACCGGAGCAAACTTGGCCTTCTGCAGCTCTAGGGCTGTATAGGTAAATCCCTCCTCCCACCCTCCCAGGGAAGATCAAGGCTTAAAGTCTTGGGGCCGCCCTGGACTGGAGCTAAACCAGTGATTTACAGAGCAGCCCAGGGGCAGGCTTGGTGTGTGCAACAGTGAAATCCCATCTTGTACTGGTGCCTGACTGGTTTCCTGATGGATCATATGAGATGTGCCTCATGCCTTGGAGACCAGGCAGTGTGTGATTGCATACCGACGGGAGCAGGCAGGGAACTACCTTTGGATATTATCCCTGCTGGATTGGCTGTTTGAGAGCCGATCCCAGTCTGCAGCGTCTCCCTGTAGTCCCTCCCCGTCAAAAATGCTGAAATCCACGTGATTGCACTGGGTTTTCAATAGGAATTGTCCCCTCCTTGGGCAACAAAATGACGCGATCGGGAATAAGGGGCTGAATCCTGGGAGTACAGAAACAGCGGCTGCTTGCGCTGCGTCTGGGAGCTGATTGCTGTCTGGGTTAATTAAACAGGGCTCCAGACTGCCAGTGGCTGGAGTGCAGAGTTGTCGGATGCGAGGGCAGAGAGCCACGAGGCCGGGGTCTCTTTGTACATGTGGGTTTGCTGTTGAAATTCCTTCTTGCTTAATAAAATCCACGGTGGAGTTTGTGGTTTGTTACCCTTCTCCTTCCACCCCATCTCCCCATCTGAGGGGGGGATCTGATGTGAAACCTCACTCCTTTTCGGCTCCAGCAGGGTCTGCTCTTCTTTGTCTGCGGTGGTAGGTGATGGCAGGGCACGCGTGTGGCCACACGTGCCTGGGGACCGGGGCACAAAATGGGCTGCGGAGCTGCATCTTTCCAGCTGGGATTTGGGGGTGCTGGGCTGTCGAGTGGCTCCTTGTGGTGGTCATTGCAGAAAGGCCTGGACAGGGGAAGACAGGGGTGCGGAGCAGGAGGGGGGCAAGGCTGGGGGCTTCCTAAAGCAATCCTGGTTCCCGGGGGAAGGAGGGGGTGCTCTGGCTGGGGTCCTTTGGTGGCAGCCGGGGGACATGGCATTGCCACTCTGTGAGCTTCAGTGGCCCTGTCGCAGTCTCCCGCAGGATGTTGGAGCGGATGGGCAGGAGCAGGGGCTGACGGTGTAACCAGGGGTCAGGGTTGCTCCGTCCCAGGAGGCTGAACAGGGGCAAAACTCTTGGTTTTCCAGCTACATTTAAGAGCAGACACCAGGACAGAGGGACTGGCTGCCCGACTCCCCGTTTTCAACTTCTCCCTCCACCCCCCGCCTCACCAGCCAGACTTCGGGTTTTTCTCCAAAACCAGGCTCGTGCCTCCCCTTGGCCTCTGGAGTTATTTCAAGCAGATAATAAAGGATATCATATAAGTACATCCTTCAGGTGCCATAAAACACAGAGTGGGGGTTGTCCTATTGCGCTGGTCGAGATGAAAGAAGCGTTTGGCCCTAAAATGACCCGGAAATGAGCTTTTCTGCATCGGAAACGTGTCAGAGCTTTGGGGCGGTTAAACCAAAGGCAAGCAAAGATTTGCCGCTTCCACAAGCCATGAGCAGCAGTCAAGGAAATGCGGGAAATGGTGATTGTGAGAGAGGGTTTCACTCCAGTTTGGGTTGTTTAGCGCGGCCGTGCAGCGCTCGGGCTGCCGGGCCGCGTGTTGCTCGGTGGGCTGCTGCCAGCGCTACAGAAATGGCACGTAATGTAATTTTAAACTGCACCTGCTCGGCCGGATCACTTAACGGCCACCGCGGCTCCTGTTTGCCACGGCTGTTGCTCGTTGAGTCTGCGAGAAGGAAGGCAGCGGCGGCAGAGGAGGGGAGCGGGGCCCGTCAGACACAAGCCATGCGAAAATGGATTTTTTGGGGGAACATATCCGCTGCCGGCAAGTGGCAGGGCCCC